CTCGGGAGCCTCGCGCGGAAATGCTCATCTAAGTGCCGGATCTATGTATTCCTCCTCGGATTCGAAGCTAGGAGCAGGTTCCTTCCGCAAGGTATCGCGTGCACGCTGGTGATCGAGAACATCTTTTATCAGCGCATGCGGCAGCGCATTCCACATCGCATTGCACCGCCCTGCAACGGCCAGAGCCGTCAGGGGCCTGGGGACTGTAGCCTGGGCTGACCAGCATCTGGTTAACGGTTCCCAGGGTCTCCCAGAATCGCCTGCTTCCTTTTGCCAGTTCAAGGGCAGCGTGGCAAGTTGCCCCGCTGGAGCACCGGCTGCTTCAGCAGGTGCCCTTGTAGGGGCAGCAGCTGGTTCAGCAGGTGCCCTTGCAGGGGTCGCAGCCGCGGCGAGCGCTGCAGATGAGCTGGCACTGTCAGATGCCTTCCTTTTTTCGCGGATGTCGCGGCACTGGCATCCGGTGATATTTGGCGCAGCCCCTGGTGCTTTCGACGTGTAGTCCGCAACGCCTTCTCACCCGCATCTCGCTGCGAGGGGGTTCCCCTGGTTGCGCCGTCCAGCGACGGCGCCCAGCCAGTTCCCTATAGATCCTGCCAAGCGTTGGGCCGCGTAAGTATACAAGGTCCTTCGGCGCAGGTGCGCTGATGCCGTGGAACGCCGATGCTGCCGCGGCCGCCGTCGGCCCCCTGGAGCGCCGTCTGTAAGCGGGCTTCCCCGCGGACCTTTGTGACCTGTTGCCTCCAGGGTCAGCTTCCGCCGAACCAATCCTTTTCTTGTGTTCAAGTGTTGGAGGAATTGGTGACCTTGGCGTACTTGGTGACGGGGATAGATCGACGTCCTTCTCTGATCGCTACTTCGGAGAATTCGGGGCCCTGGGCGGTTTATCAGCGGGTGCCCCCGCGTTTGACGATGCCGCGGGCTCCCCCGCATTTCTCGATAAGGATCTCTCCGGAAAAAGATTCCTTTATGATATGTAAAACGACACGTTTTTGATCTTAGCCCTGTTCTTGATGGCCAACTGATAGTGCCAATTGTCCAGCTTACGCACTATCTCGGTACCTAGCCATCCAATTTCTCTGGCATGATGTGACACCGGAGTACCAGGCGCTAAGTCCATGTCCTCCGCCACTGGTTGTGCAATGTCCAACTCCGCATCGGTTGACTCATTGCTATAAGAATATTCTGAATCACGACCAGCAGCAGCAGGGCCAACTGCTTCAGCATGGACAGGGCCGTCAGCCCTTGCATCGCCCATCGGAGGACCAGCGCCCCCCATGGGAGAAGCAGAAGCGGGTTGCCCGGCAGGTGATGCCTCAGCCATCATTTCATAATATCATCGGCTGTATTTCTTGATGCGGTGATTGAATGTCGAGGTTCTTCCACCTTCGCTCAATGAGTTTCGCCTCGTCTTCGGTGATCGGCTGGTAATCATCTTTGGTCAAGTATTGTTCAGGGGGATGGTTCGTCTGATCCACCTTGCGACCCATGCCATCTCCATGAAACTAGACCCGCGGTGTTTTCCCCAAGTTAGGGCTCCTTGATGGACGCCCCATCGGACACGCGGGTCTGTGGTGTGCAAAACGTCGGGCCATGTCTAGATCCCTTCATGCCAGCGCAGGGGCCGATTTTGCACCAGAACCTCCGTTGGCACGGACAACCTTGCCAACGTCGCCCCGCGTAATATTGCGAAGTGAATACCAGTGGCGGATGTCACGTTCGGCCCAGCCTTCGTCGGGCCAGTGCTGCATGGTTTCTGATGAAATATATTAGCGAGCCAGCCCATGATCATCGTAGCTGACGAGGCGCCGCGCGCCGGGGCCTTCGGGCCCAGCTGCCCGATCCTCGCGCCGAGGCGGGTGTCCCCGCGAGCGCCCCCTTCTAGGCGGGGCCCTTGGGGCCCTCGCGTCGGGAGGGCGCGGGCGCGCCGCGCCGCCGGAGCGAGCGCGCGAGCGCCCGCGCGAATGACTCTGACCATGGCGCTGCGGGTAATGACTCCCAGCTTCCAAATTCGTATTCGTCATCATCCTTACGACGCGCCCGTCTCCGAATTGGGCGGCTCGTAGACCGGTCGTGCGTCGCGAACGTGAAGCGATGGTCTTCGCCATGCCCAAGGTCGTCAGCGTTGCGAGGGTTTCCCCGCAGAGAGTCGTCGTCGCATGATTCTCCAGAAATCGGATTACCAGTGACCTGCGGGTGGAGCACCACTTGTATCTCCTCCTCTGTCGCTGGCACTGTAGCATCAGAGTCCGCGGGTGCCCCCGCCATCTCGCGGTCCGAATCGGCGGGCGCGCGGAAATCCTCAAGGAACTCAATCTGCGCAGACTGTCCCGCAATGGGAATGCCCGGCCAGTCAGCCAGGTTGATCTCGTCGTGGCCAACGTAGATCCCCTCGAAGAGCTCGTCGGCGCAACTCTCGAGGGACACGCCTGGCGCTTAGATATCTGGCGGCCATGACATGGACTGCGGCAGTATGGGCGTCTTCGGGTTCGGCTAATAGCGTCTCCCAATCGACATGCTGAGTGTCCGAATCGGCTTGAGCCACGTGTATCGACGGACCCCTGCCTCTCCCATCGCCTCGGGGGCATGCGCGACAGAAATGTTGTGCCATGGCAGAAATCACGTTCCATGGTTTTGCCAGTCGCATCTTTCGGGCTCCCCCGACGCCCCTTGCACTTTCCCGGGGTGCGCCCGCGGCCTCTACCTGTCCCCCGGAGCATGTCTTCGCATTGTGGTCCAGTAAGGGATGCCAGGAATACTGACATACCTCTGCCATGCAATTGCCGTCGTTTGCCTTCGCCCTTGCCTCTGCCATTCCCCTCTGCTCTTTGATCTGAACGCCCGTCGGATAAGACGTCGTATCTTACGAACTGGTTTCTTCATGAAGCGTCTCCAACGGCACTTGTGTCTCTGGTATCCTAGAAATAACCATTGCGCCTGTTGCTCTTCTGAGATACATAGGCATGTCGGAATAGTCTACGGTGCCAGTTCCGTCATCTGGTGACGCGTCGGCGTCTGTTCCAGAGTCCAAGTCAGACACGGCAGGGCGTCCCGCTGAGCCTGCACGGGTAGCGGCTCGGGCAGGGGCCGTCGTTGCTGACGGTCCCCGGTATCGAGCCCAGGAGTCCTGCGACCCCGTAGGCTGGCCACCATGTTGAGCTAATAAGGTGGTGGCTTCTGTTGGTTGTGGATCATCGTTCCAGACGTTTGTAGCAAGTGGCCATGCATTAGTCTCAGTCTGAAAGGTTTCGGTACCGGCACAATGACCATGGCGAAATATACCACCGATGTTGCCAGGGGTTCGCTCGGCAATGTGAGCGTAGGACCTCATGCGTTCTGGTAGAGAGTCAAACTGTTGCTGGGTCCTTGGCATTTGGTGGTTGAATGGTTGTAGTAGTTGTTGTGCGCGCGACGTACCCACTCCCAAAGCCCTGAATCGGATGACTGCTGGGGTCTGGAAGTTGGGGACATTGCAGCCTGCGGTCTCGGCCTCGACGCGGGCTATCTCAAAGCGCGCTAACGCATGGTCGATCCGCTCTCCCGCATGGACGCGAAAGCCGACGAGAGCCTTACCTGAAATAAACTGGCGTTCCTCCTCTAGATTCTCAAACTTAGCGCCGAGGAGGAACATGGTGTAGGTGACGCCGTCAGTGTGGCGACCACCGATGTTTACGCCAAAGTTGATGATTCCAAAAGGTACTCTCATGGCCATGGTCCTCGCGAACCCTCCCGCCCAGACCATGCTGTAGTGTTGCAGCCTGTTGGGAGGGGGTCATCGTGCCTGTGGTCGCGTTGACCCAGGCATGTGGCCTACCGGTACACAGTACCGGCAGGGTCCCAGTGGGGGCCGGTTGTACGTGCGTCGTCTCCGCCACACTGCCTATGCCCCACAGCGCATCCGATAGCTACCCACAGGAAGCCGAATATGGCAATTCCAATCCAGTGGCCCCTCAGGTCGTGGTCGGACGTTTGTGGCTGGGGGTTGTGGTGTGTTGTCGTTCGCCTGCGTGGGGGTGGAGGCGACACAATGTCGTATCGCATGTTACCACGCATTGCGTTTTCAAAAAAGTTTCCGCTGGAGTAGGAGGGTGGACTTCAGGAGTATAGTAGCGCAGGGAAATGGGACCCATGTGAAAGGCCTCCGCGAAAACGGAGGTATCCCTGCAAGTGTCCTTGCGGTTGTGTGCAGTTATGTACATTCCTCCGCGCAGACCCACTGCACCCTGATGTTCCACCATGTCAGTAGTCCACTAGATAATGCCGTGGATGGTGAGGAGTAGAGCTAGAGCTGACCACCAGAGGCCAGCTCCGCTACCAAGTTTGAAGGGGGTTGGGAGGCCCAACCAGAAGCTTCGCCTAAGGCGAAGCCCATCTCCAACTCTGTTGTACCGTAGTAACGATAATCCCAGAAGTAGGAGATCGTCGCGGGAACGGCGGGACATATCAAGCGAATGTACTTTCGGTCTCAATGGCAAGTAGTGTGCCTCGCATTGAGGCACAGTCATATGTTGGCGGCCGGCCGCTTGAGAACAAACGGCCGCGAACGAACGCTCGCTATCTCTCGCCTTTGCCCCAACCTCCTTTAGAGTCGGGGGGGGAAGGGGACCAACCGTGAGCCCGCCGCCCGACATACAGTAAACACTGTATACACAAGGTAGGCAGCAACAGGCGGGCTCAACAAGGAAGGCTGGCCCGCACGCAAGCGCCCTTGCAAGCATGATACCTCGCAGGCAAATCACCTTGCAGGCGATTGCTCCTCAGGCGGCCCAGACGATTTTGTCTGGCCAATCCTGTACGGAGTATGTCGTTTTAAATCGTGATTGAAGGATTGCGTTCCTCCCATGACCTGTAAGAGCATCTCTCGCCTTTGCCCCAGCCTCCTTTAGAGTTCGTCACTCATCCCGGGCCGTTTTGCTGACAACCCTGCGACCCTGGAAGGGACCAGGGGGGAGGAAATCCAAAAACCTGCTTTCCTCCAGGACCATTCTTTTCAGAGCGACATCCTCGAACTGCATCGAATACATGCCGGAGATGATGGTCTCGCTCTTGCCGGCAAATCGGTCCTGACTTTTCACACCATCCCAGCCCAACCCGAAGTCCCGAATTTCGGGTTTGGGGGTGGGTGCTGTAATTGCGGATTCCATCTATGATTTTTCCATGTTCGGGGACGCCCCCCCCCACACTGTGAATGGAGGGCAACTGGGATCCTTTGGGCTGGGCTGGAGCGGTTTGGTGGGTAAGGAAGTCCAGGCAGTGGAGGACGAAGTATTTCTCGCTTCCGGCGCCGCCCGTGTTGTCGTTGAGGCCCTGACAGTCGCCCCCGAACCAGACGTTCCAGTCGTCGATCCCGTCAATGGCCTCGCCCGCTCCCGAGGCCCGTGGCAGGTCTCGCATGCTCAGCGCGGTGGGCCTGTTCAGGATGATCCCGGTCGTGAAGATGGGGGAGTGGCTTATCTCCGCGGGAGGCATCCATTCGTCACCACCGTGCGTGGACACCAAGTCACCCAACTTCGCGCGTCGCGCCCCGCGATGCGCAATTTCCTTCGCGCCATGGCACGGTACAGTCAAAAACCCTAATAAGGACGCGCGGTAAGGACGCAAGACCCTTGGGAGCCGACGTTGGGATTTCTGGGGCGGCGGACGACGAAAACCTCCAGGACGCAAGAGCAAGGAAGAGCAAGGACGCAAGGGTATCCTGAGCAAAGTCGCGCGTCCTTATTAGCGAAGACTGATAGGTTTCTAATGGGGTCAAAAGAGAGCATCTGATGACTCCCCAGGGGGGTCTGGGCGGGAGCCGGACAGGCGAGGGCCGGGCTCGTTTTAAGCAAACAGTCACACACTTCGTGCTCTTCGACCTCCCAGAACTCCATTCCCGGGCCACATTTTGAATGCCCGGAGCCAACTGTAGGCCACTTCGTGCTCTTCGACTTCCCAGAACTCCATTCCCGGGCCACATTTTGGATGCCCGGAGCCAACTGTAGGCCACTTCGTGCTCTTCGAGTTCCCAGAACTCCATTCCCGGGCCACATTTTGAATGCCCGGAGCCAACTGTAGGCCACTTCGTGTCTTCGAGTTCCCAGAACTCCATTCCTGGGCATGATTTTGAATGCCCGGAGCCAACTGTAGGCCACTTCGTGTTCTTCGAGTTCCCAGAATTCCATTCCCGGGCCACATTTTGAATGCTGAGGAGGCTGATGCTGAGGCTGAGGCAGGCTGAGGCTGAGGCAGGCTGAGGCTGAGGCCGAGGCTGAAGGCAGACTGAGGCTGAGGCTGAAGCAGACTGAGGCTGAGGCTGAGGCAGGCTGAGGCTGAGGCTGAGGCAGGCTGATGCTGAGGCAGGCTGAGGCTGAGGCTGAGGCTGATGCAGGCTGAGGCTGAGGCAGGCTGAGGCTGAGGCCGAGGCTGAAGGCAGACTGAGGCTGAGGCTGAAGCAGGCTGAGGCTGAGGCTGAGGCAGGCTGAGGCTGAGGCTGAGGCAGGCTGATGCTGAGGCAGGCTGAGGCTGAGGCTGAGGCTGATGCAGGCTGAGGCTGAGGCAGGCTGAGGCTGAGGCCGAGGCTGAAGGCAGACTGAGGCTGAGGCTGAGGCAGGCTGAGGCTGCAGGCTGAGGCTGAGGCAGCAGGCTGAGGCTGAGGCTGAGGCAGGCTGAGGCTGAGGCTGAGGCTGAGGCAGGCTGAGGCTGAGGCAGGCTGAGGCTGAGGCCGAGGCTGAGCAGACTGAGGCTGAGGCTGAGGCTGAGGCAGGCTGAGGCTGAGGCTGAGGCTGAGGCAGGCTGAGGCTGAGGCTGAGGCTGATGCAGGCTGAGGCTGAGGCAGGCTGAGGCTGAGGCCGAGGCTGAAGGCAGACTGAGGCTGAGGCTGAGGCTGAGGCTGAGGCTGAGGCTGAGGCTGAGGCTGAGGCTGAGGCTGAGGCTGAGGCAGGCTGAGGCTGAAGGCTGAGGCTGAGGCTGAGGCTGAGGCTGAGGCTGAGGCTGCAGGCTCAGGCTGAGGCAGGCTGAGGCTGAGGCTGAGGCTGAGGCTGAGGCAGGCTGAGGCTGAGGCTGAGGCAGGCTGAGGCTGAGGCTGTGACTGCGACTGCCGTTGCCACTGCGACTGTCATCGCGAATGCGACTACGACTGCGAGAACAGCAGAATTCTACAACTGGATTCTCATCTGAATCTTAAAGGGAAGGCTTCCAAATATGCTCCTACACATCGCTATTAGGTTGCTTTGCCGGGAAAATTGACTGTAAAGCGGTGCCCGTGATCCGAAATGGGTGGGGCGCCATTGTCTCCCCTTGTCTCCCGCTGTCCTCCGGCGTGCCCCGTCGTCTCCCGCAGTCTCCCGCAGCCCTCCGTGGTCCCCCCGTGGTCTCCCGTGGTCTCGCGAAGTCGCGCGTCCTTATTAGGGCTTTTGACTGCAAATCACCTAACTTGACGCGTCGCGCCCCGCGATGCGCGCTTTCCTCCGCGCCACGGCACGGTCGAGCCGCCTCCCCTGGAGGAGGGCAGCCGCTCTGGCCCAGACCTCGACGCGCGACGCGCGCTTACCTTCGCACCCCCGCGGGTGACCCGGGGTCATGGAAGGGGCCCTGGGACACACAAATAAATGCACACAAATAAAAAGGATTCCCCATATTTTCCCACATGTTCTGGGTTTCTGTCTTCCCCCCCACTTCCCATATTTTCGCATATTTTCCTGGGAGTGGACGATTAATTGTGTCTGTGTGTTTTTTCCCCTCCTGAGTCATCTTGGGCTCCAGGGTGGTGTCTGATAGACCCTCCATGGCTCGGCCAGGGCCCAGGGTGGCCCTGGCCACGCGCAGTGGTGGCGTGCAGGTGCCCTCCGTGGACATCAGGATGATGACGTTCTTGTGGAAGTACTGCTGGTTGATCGCGAAGTGGTTGCTCGGGACGGACAGCAGCACCTTGCAGCCGCCGCAGCCGTCGCCGAGGGGCACCGAAGTGGGGGGTCCAGCTCAGGGCTCTGGGGGGGGTACGTCCACCTGGAACCAGCGATGCATGGCCGACAGATCGGAGCTATGGATAACGAAAACGCACGCTCCTGGGCGGGGCAGGCTATCGGGCCCATATCGGCGATCCGTGGGCGATTGCAACCCCCCCCAAGCCTATCTCCCCCTGACGTTGCCCCTGAGCCGCTGCCGCCACATCTGACAGCATCACCGCGCCGCCCTCGCCGTCGCCGCCCTCGCCCCTCCGCTGCCGTCGCCACCGCCGCCGCCGTCGCCGCCTCACCGCCGCCGCCGCCGCCGCCCCGCCGCCCTCGTCGCCGCCTCGCCGCCGCCGCCGCCGCCCCGACGCCGAGGTCGGACGAGGCACCGCGCCCTGCTCGATGAGCGGGCTCTCGTACGCCCACCCCTCGGCGCTCGCGCTCGGCGCGCCCTCGCCGGCCCCCGCGCCCTCCTGCTGCTCGAGTTGCACCAGCCGCGCGCGGAACTCCCTCCAGTCGCCCGCGGCCGCCTCCAGGCCGCCCTCGTCGTCCTCGCCGGCGGCACCGTCGTCGCCCTCGGCGCCTCCGTCGTCGTCGCTCTCGGCGTTGCCGTCGCCCTCGCCGTCGACGCTGTCACTCGTCGCCAACCCCCTTCCTCGCTGTCGTCGTCGTTGTCGCCGCCGCCGCCGCCGCCGTCGTCGTCGTCGTCGACCTCGTCGTCGACCGCCGTCCGCCGTCGACGACCATCGGCCATCGATCGTCGATCGCCACCGCCGCCGCCGAACTCGTCGGCCGCCCGCCTCGTCGCGACCGACGCCGCCGTCGGCCGTCGGGGCGTGTTCGGGTCTTCTCGGGCCACTGCTCGGCTCCCGTGCGGCCGTGCGGGGCGACTACTCGGGCCCCCCGGGCACGCGCTCGGAGGAGCGCAGCGGCTCAAAAAAGCACCCCGCGGCGGCAAAACGGCCGAGCACCAGCGACAACGGCCGGGAACCTGGAGGCTCGACAACCTGGACACCCCTGACCCCTGAGCCTACCCCTCCAGCCCCTGAGACTATGCTCCTCCTCCGTCTCCGCCTCCGCCTCCTCCTCCGCCTCCTCCTCCTCCTCCTCATCTTCCTCCTCCTCTTCCTCCTCCTCTTCCTCCTCCTCCTCCTCCTCCGTTTTCGCGGCAGGCATCAACAAGAGCGTAGCGTGCGATGGTGGCGGCAGCACCAGCCCGCAGCGGTGTCGCAGGAGAGTCTCCGCCCCGTCTCAATCAATCTTCCCATGACCTTAGTTATCCATGCAACAGCGCCTGAATCGGCCGCGAGGCCCAGGCACCCACCAGGCTGCAGCGCCAGGGGCGAGAGAAACAAGAAGCACAAGGGGAAAACAAAAAGGACAGGAACACCACCCAACACAGGAGGGCGGAGGCGGGTGCAATCCTCATGGGCACAAGGGCCGTGTTGCCGTCCCTGGTGCAAGCCGCTCCTGTCTGTAAGCTGCTCCAGCCGCGCGGAGAGCAGCTGAGCGCCCTCCTGCCCTGTAGGCGTGAGGGCCCCTGAGAGCGGCCGAAGCGGCCTGTCGAGGAGGAGCCTCCTCGCAGAGCGGTCTTTCGCTGGGCCGAGGTCGGCTGCGGCTGGGCACGGGGCCTGCTTGCATGCCCTCGGGGGCGTGGCTGGCGCCCCCAGCTCGTCTGGGTCTGGCCCTGACCCGCGGCCCAAGGTGACATCCGAGACTGTTCTCCTCCCCCGCCTGAGACAACATACAACCTACAAACATCCCCACTCCACCCACCACCATGACGCTGCGGGGCTCAGCACGGCAGGCTCAGGAGCTGTATCTCTGGCCTGCGAGCTGAGCGCGGGGCAGTGCCGTAACCAAATAGTGTCACGCACCGCGCCCACCAGTACGATCCCGCGCGGCGCTCTGCCGCGGGCAGCAGGCGCTGGCGCGGCGGTGCTCTGCACCTGTCCCAACAGCGCTCCAGGTCCGCGAGAAACCAAAAGGCTCCCAGAGCCTCTCGGGGCGGGCTCGAGATGTCGGCGGCGCGCGGAAGGGGCCATGGGGGGGAACTGGGCAAGGCTATCTAGTAAGAAACGTGATTCACACACACACACACACACACGGAGGACGAGAGACAAGTCCCCCCAGGGCTTCTGAGAAGCACCCAGCCGGCTGAGAAGCCGAGCCCCGTCCTCCTGCTCTTTTCGGAGCGCCGCCTTTGGATGCCATCGCCTGTCCATCGACGGGGATGGCCATCCATGCCAAATCTGGCTCCCACGGGGTACCAGTAGTGGCGCGCAGTTGCCGCGCCGGCAACGGCAGGATGGCCGAGCTTCGGCCATCTATGCGGACCCAGTTCCTCGGATGCCTAGTCGCGCCCTCGTTGCGCGGGCGGGCTGCCGAAGCGCCCCCTGGAGGCAGGGGCGGGCATCCTAGCTCAAGGCTCGAGGACGTGGATGCCAACGCCTGTCACTCGACAGCGGTGTTCATCCAAGCCCGAACTGGCCCCCCACAGGGCACCAGCACTGACAGGGTTGGCCGTGCAAGCCAAAGTTGGCACCCACTGGGTACTACGATTGGTGTCAAGTTGCCGCGCCCGCAACGGCAAGATGGTCGTTGTTGGGCCATCTAGGCGGGTCCGGTCCCTCGAATGCTCTGCTGCGTCCTTGCTGCGAGGGTCGGGTGTCAAGCCTGCCGTAAGACGAGCTTGCGTCCCCGCTGATGGGCTCGATTTTTGATGGCAACGCCTGTCCATCGATAGTAAGGGATGGCCATCGAAGCCCAGTCTGGTCCCCGCGGGATGCCAATAGTGGCGTGCAGGTGCCACGCCCGCCGCGGCAGGGGGGCCGAGCTTCGGCCATCCGCGCGGACCAGACTCGTTGATCTCTCAGCTGGGCCCTCGTTGCGAAGGCAGGATGCCAAAGCCTGCCTGGAGACAGGGCTGGCAATCCAAACTGTTGGCTCGAGGTGATGGATGCCAACTCCTGTCCAACGACATGGCTGACCATTGAAGCCTAAGCTGGCTTACCACAACGTACAGCAACCAGTACTGGCCATCTACAGGGCTGGCCCTGAATTTGCCGCGCCCGCAACGGCAGGATGGCCGAGCTTCGGCCATCTACGCGGACCAGTTACCTCAAATGCCTTGCATGTGCGTGCTAGCTGCGGACTCGAGGTGGTTGATGCCAACCCCTGTCATTCTACAGGAATGACCATCCAAGCCCGAACTGGTCCCCACAGGATTCCAACACTGGCTTTGTTGCTGCGCCCGCCACGACATGAAGGTCGATTTTGGCCATCTATGCGGACCAACTTCCTACGCCACGGTCGCCTTGCCATTTCCTGGAAAAGGGGTTACGCAAGGGTGCTCGCCGAGTTCCAAGAACTCTTCGTGGCGCCTCGAGCGTCCCTTCCGTTTTTCCCCTTAACCAGGATGGAACGGTGTCGGTCCTGGGAGGAGGAGGAGGAGGAGGAGGAGGAGGAGGAGGAGGAGGAGGAGGAGGGGGGATGCGGAGGGACGAGGAGGAAGAGGAGGGGGAGGGGGAGGAGGAGGAGGAGGAGGAGGAGGAGCAGGAGGAGGAGCAGGAGGAGGAGGAGGATGACGAGGAGGAAGGCGTTTGGTCGAAACTGCATTTTTCGCCCACGGGGGGCATGCGGGTCTGGCCCTTACCCTAGGCGTTGCTGGTGCAGCCAGCCGCTTCATTGTCAGTCATTTCCGCCCTCTGCGCCGCCGCCCGGGACAGGCAGCGCACGTTGGACCCTCGGCGTGGCACCGCCGGGCTCGCACGGCGCGGGGAACTGACAGTAGGGGAGAGCTCTCCTGAAGATCAGGAAGGTGCCCATGGCTAGAGGAATCCCGGGGCGATGGCCGCAGCAGTGGAGTTGCTCTCGCTGTGGCACGTGGCGACCACCATCCAAACCCTGGTAGCGAAGGCACAGCTGGGCATTCGAGGAAACTGGTCCGCGAAGATGGCCGGAGCTCGGCCATCCTGCCATTGCGGGCGCGGCAGCTGTCTGCCAGTCCCGGCGCCCTGCAGGAGCCAGCTTTGGCTTGGGTGGCCATACCCGTCGGTCGACGGGCGTTGGCATCCACGACCTCGAGCCCAGAGCTAGGAGGCCCGCCCCTGTCTCCAGGGGGCCCCGCGGCACCCTGCCCTCGCAACGAGAGCAAAACTAGGCGCCCGGGGAACCTGGTCCGCATGGGTGGCCGAAGCTGCAATCCTGCCGTTGCGGGCGCGGCAACTGCAGGCTACTGGTATCCCGTGGGGGCCAGATTTGGCCTGGATGGCCACCCCCGTCGATGGGCAGGCGCCGACGTCCAAAGGCGGCGCCCCGAAGGGGGCATGGGTGGCGGAGATTGGCTTCTCAGCAGGCAGGGTGCTTCTCAGAAGCCCTGGGAGGACTTCTCTTTCGTCCTCTGGGGGGTTATGTGAATTACGACTCTTACTAGATAGCCTTGCCCAGTTCCCCCCTCTGGCCCCTTCGGCGCGCCGCCAACGTCTCGAACCCGCAGCCAGGATGCCTGAACCTGTTCTTTGGCAGGCCTGACATCCAAACCCTCGCAGCGAGGGCACGGCTCGGCATTCGAGGAGACTGGTCCGCGTAGATGGCCGGAGCTCGGCCATCCTGCCGCTGCGGGCGCGACAGCTGTCTGGCAGTTCTGGTATCCTGTGGGAACCAACTTTGGCTTGGATGGCCAGCCCTGTCGGTTGGCGGGCGCTGGCATCCACGACCTCGAGCCTAGAGCTAGGATTTTTTTGGGCTCGGGCTGGCGACTAGCCTCACCTCTCTGCACAGCCGCCGAACGGCGAAGGGCCCGAAGGCCGAAAGGACGAAGGACGGACCCAGGACCCGAGACAGAGCCGGCCGAAAGGACCGACGGAAAAGACAAGGGACTGAAACCTCGGGGGCCACGGGCAGCAAGCAAGCAGCGCAAAAACTGCTGGCACCGTCTCTTGGGGCGAATTTAATCCCTGGTCATCAATGGCAGCCGTGCTGCCAACACCGGGCGCAAGTGCACGTGCCCTCGACTTCACTTCGATGGCCTTCCCTCGCCCAATATAAGAAGGACAAGCGGCCACAAACACAAGCCAGACGCAACGGGCGTCTGGTTCCGTCGCGGCTCGACGCTCGCGGTTGCGTCGGGGGCTACAAGAGTTCCGAAGGCACAGACAGTGCAATGCAACATCTCCTGGGATAGCACGGGAGAGGAGCGCAACACAAACGACAAAAGAGAAGAAGCGAAGCTTTGTTCTTCTTCTGTCTCTTTACAAGCCTGGGCGCAGCACGAGATATAACGCAGACTGGTTGCCACGAACACAAGCCAGACGCTGCGGGTGTCTGGTTCCGTCGCGGCTCGACGCTCGCTGTCGCGGCGGGGGCCGCAGGGGTTCCCAGGGTGCTCGCAGTTACTCTCCAAACCAGTTGACTACGGCACGGGAGAGGTGCATCAGGCAAGCAAGCAAGAGACAGGGTGAAGCTTTGTCTTCTTCTGCCTCTTTGCGAGCCTGGGCGCAGCTGGGCGCGGAGGAAATTAAACGGACAAGTGCTGAGAGGTATATCCAAG